CTTGGGAAAACAAGGAAAAATCACATTCCTAGAATTGGAGATTTTAATGAGGTACAAGAATTTTCATTATTACTATTTGTATGGTTAAATAATTTCAAACTGGTTAAACAGGGTCCTACATGAAATCCTCCCAGATCCATTAATCACCCAAGGGAAAGCTCTGTAGTCTCATAAATTTACATGAATAAAACAAGTAAGCTCTAAAACTTTGGCATTTGTCATTTCTTTTGTAATTTGTAAATAGTCAACCTACTACATGGAAGGAGATACAGGACACCCAGTGTTCCAGACACAGTTTGGTGAGGTTCACTTTTATCAAATTTGATCAAATGATTTATGTTTATGGATGGTATTGGATCTCCCAAAAATGTTTCTTTTTAATCCTAATCAAACTTGAAGGGTCTTTAAGAGTTTTTTTTTTTTTCACTCCTCTGCAGGTCGAATTGCAGTGAATATTTGTTATGGTCGTCACCACCCACTAAACTGGCTAATGTATGCAATAAATGGCGCTGAGATCTGCAACTGTAGGTGCTTTAAGGTATATGTGTCTTTTTGAGCTCAGGTTTCAATCTCTTTTGATGGGGAAGGGCACTCAAGGGAAACTCCTGTGGGGTTATCTCATCAAGGTCTCAAAATCTTACCCTGTCACTAGCACATACCCCTTTAGTCCAAGTAAGGGAGTGCCCTTTTCCCCTCCCTCTCTTCCACCCATTTTTTTTTTTTTTGCCCTGTAAGCTTACAGACTAATATTCTTATCTGTTTTGCAGTGAACCCATGTGGCCAATTGAGGCTCGCTGTGCATCTATAGCCAACAATTACTTCACTGTGGCAATTAACAGGATTGGAACTGTAAGTACACTTACCCTGTTAGAAACAAAACTGTCCCATTACATTCACATTTGCCTTGTCATTGGATGAATATCTTCAGGTTTTTTATCTCTTACAGGAGGGTAGGGATGTAAGGCCAAGATGTGGGACTAAGGCCCTTCCCTTTTTGTTCAGAGAATCAGAGACTTAAATGCTTTTGTCAGAAAGACTTGAGAGGAGACATAGTGCTTCAGATCCATGTAATGTTGCATAGGGTACCTTACATTTGAGAAAATAAAAGGCTTTTTCTTTACATTTTCTTTTCCCATCCATAGGAAGTCTTTGAAAATGAATTTACTTCAGGGGATGGCAAACCAGGTAGCTAAAATTACCCAGTAAAGAGGATATTTTTTTTTCTTTTCCCTTTCTAACCAATCTTCAATTTGCAACTAGGAATAAGATAATTTTGGTAAGATATATGAGAGTGGAAGAATATTTTTAAAAAACGTTTTAAAATGGGTGTTACTCTCAAAAGCAGGATCTTTGCAATACAAACCTAGCTGGTTGTAGTTATCAAATGTTTTATAAGAATCTGAAAGGGTAAGGCTATATTTATGGGGTTAAGTGATGAACAGAGTACAATAATAATGAACTTTGACAATAACAATTAGTTATGTAAATTTGCCATTTATTTCCTTAGCTCATAAGGACTTTGGTCACTTTTATGGTAAGTTTTCCACTTGCTGATATTTAATTGATTTTTATGATTAAAGTAAGTGATAATGAACCATGTCTGACCATAAAATTTAACTTTTAATTGTTAGGTTCCTCTTACGTTGCTGCTCCAGATGGCAGTCGTACCCCAGTGAGCTATTTTGATTTACATTTTTTTATTGTTAGTCTTCAATAGAATACACAAAATGAAAGACAGACACAGGTAGTGATATATATATATATTTATAGTCTTCTCAGAATGTAAGCAGCCAGTTTTTTACCTTGTTTGAAGATCAATCTCAATCTTGCTCATTGCACAATGCTCATGGGATTGTTTGGTCCAAGATTATCCAAGGGTCAGCAATATCATGGACTAAGAGACGATTTTTCTGACAGATTACACCTTTTGATTATAATAAGTATTGTTTTTCTTGCACAGGGTTTATCCAGAGTTAAAGATGGCCTCCTTGTGACTGAGGTAGACTTAAACCGATGCAGACAAGTTAAGGACCGCTGGTGTTTCCAGGTGTGTAAGGTGTAAGGTTTTTTGCTATTTGTAGGAACTAAAAATCACTGTGGGTCTGCTACCAACTTCAGATTAAGTTCTGGAGGACAACTGGCCATGGTATGCTATTACATCACTGTTAAACCCACCCCCTCCCCCCAGAATTTTGTTAAGTGTCCCTGGCAGTTTGTTTGGTACCATTGTATACTGCTGAGAGGAGATGGGGCAGTGAGGGTGAAGAATCTTCCCTAAAAACACAACACTATGACCAGGCCATGGTCTAAACCTGAACTTATTGATCCACAGTCCAGTGCCCCAACCACTGGGTCACCACTTTTCCCTTGCATCTCACT